CCGCGCTGAGCTCCGCTCCGCTCCGCAGGGCTGGCCGTGCTGCGCGCAGCCTGCGGGGACGTGTCGCAGCTCGGCGTCTTCTGCACGGAGCCCATCGCCAAGGGCGTGCGCTTCGGGCCCTTCCGCGGCAAGGTGGTCAACACCAGCGAGATCAAGACGTACGACGACAACTCCCTCATGTGGGAGGTAGGGACCCCGCGGCCCGGGCCCCCGTGTCCGCGGAGGCGCCGCGGAGCTCGTGGCCGCGCTCCCACCGCGTGGCTCGTGGGTGGGAGCGCTCGGCGCTGAGCCCGCGCTCGCCTCTGCTGCCCAGATCTTCGAGTGCGGGCGCCTGAGCCACTTCATCGACGGCAGGGGGGCCGCGGGCAACTGGATGTCCCTGGTGAACTGCGCCCGCTTCCCCGAGGAGCAGAACCTGACGGCCCTGCAGTGCCAGGGCCAGATCTTCTACGAGAGCTGCAAGGAGATCCTCCCGAGGCAGGAGCTGCTCGTGTGGTACGGGGACTGCTACGTGCAGTTCCTGGGCATCCCCATCAGCCTGAAGGGCATGCCCGACGGGAAGAGAGCCCCGCAGCAACCTGAAGGTGAGAAATAAATCCCCTCGAGCCCTGTCCAGCCCTAGGGCACCTGCCGGTGCTTTAAAAGACCCTCCAGTTCACCTTCTCATCCAGCCATCCCAGAAGAGCATCCCAAAAGAGCCACGGCACCGGGAGGCTCGATCAAAACCCACACCCAGGGCTGCTGTCAGCCCTGGGTGAAGCTCCCCTTGGAGCCTGGCACCYGTCCCTGGGGTTTGCTGCTTGTTTTCGTTTGCTTTGGGAGTAAGAAGTGGTAATTGGGTGGCTGTAAAACATCTGGTGCTGCCTGACAGCGCCCTGGGGAGCAGCGGAGCGAGCGGCCGATCCGTCCCCGCTCCGCGGCAGCCCTTCCTGCAGCCGAACCCCTTTGGGGAGGAAAGAAAGAGGCTTTGGGGCATTCCTGGCTTCATTCCGTTTTAATTGCCCAGTCGCACGTGCCCAGCCTTGGCACCTTTCCTGCAATTACTGCTCCTAGCAAACGGGGCAGCCCAAAATCATCCCAGTCCTGCAGTGCCGATGCCGCTTGCAGAGGACACGCGTGTCCCCTCTCTGGGAGCGCTGTACKCAGGTAGAAAGTGTGGCATTCGTAGCAGTAAAACTTGGGCATGAAGAAAATGGATTTGTGCAAACACAGGGAATGCTGGAGCTGTCAAGGAATATATTTTTGAAGTGCAGCGGTAAGAAAGAAAGGAGAATTTAGCAAAACTCTGCATGGAGCATTTGGAGCTGTTGTTTTAAGGTGCCTTCTCCAGAGCGCTGGTTAATTACTGATCTCAGTTTTAAGGCTTAAAGCCAAAGTTACTTCTCTGTGTTGTGCTGAAGGCATAAAAGGATATTTAGATATTTGCAAAGTTACCTATGTTGTTTCCCATTTTGGTCGTTACGAATCGAAACACAAAAGAAAACGAAAACATATTCTTGTGCTACAGTAGTTAGAAAATCTTAGAAAAGATAGGCAGAGTTATCTTTTTGCTTTTCAATGGTAAAATTTTTGGACAATGATGATAATAAATATCTAGCACTGTTTCTGTTTGGTTCCCCCAACCTTTCACRTTGCGGGCGTCAAGGCAGTTTTTCCGAATATTCCCCCCGCGTTAGGGAAGTGCACRGCTGGAATCCCGTCCTTGCTGAAGTCAGTGGCCACACACGGGAATTTCGTTAGCCAGGGGTCTCTTGTGCCTCCTTTCCCTTAAGGGGGGGCTGTGGGGGCAAACGGGGCAGAGCCCCCCAGCTCCGTGAATCTGCACTACCAGATCCCATGCAGCAGCTTCCATGGAGCAGCAGCTCGGAGAGAGGGGGGGATTCACGACTGCCACCTTCTCGCTGCGCTGTCACGGCGGGATCGGCTCTTTCCCTTCCCTTGTGCAGAGGCCGGCGAGAGCTACAAGTGCGAGCGGTGCGGCAAGGTGTTTGCCTACAAGTACTACCGGGACAAGCACCTGAAATACACGCGCTGCGTGGACCAGGGCGACAGGAAATTCCCTTGCCACCTCTGCAGCCGCTCCTTCGAGAAGCGGGACAGGCTGAGGATCCACATTCTCCACGTCCACGAAAAGCACCGGCCTCACAAGGTAAGCCCGGCCAGCCCGCTTCCCGCGGGTCTTGCTTCTCCAGGTTAATTTATTGCCCTTAATTAGCTTATTTTGGCAGAGGTTAAGATGCTGATGTGCTTCCCCCGCTTACCTTCGCTTCGGTTTCCTTGGCACTTTGGAAAAGTGTAAAGGAAGAATTCTGCCGCTAAAGGAAGAATTTGTCTTATGCCGCTGAGATGAGCRAAAGGAGTTAATGAATTTACCCTAACTGAGTGACCCTGCGGGGCTGGGGAGGGTTTGAAAGGGGAACTACCAGGGAGAATCCTGGACTGGAGCGGGGAATCCTCCTGTGGGGAAAGCCCTCCTGGTGCAGGCGGAGCAGCCKGGTGGTGATGCTGCAGCTGGCTCCAGCAGAGCCCCGAAGCAGCTTCACTTGCCCCAGTGGAGCCAGCACATATTTCTCCAGGATTTCTGGATGTTTCCGTGTGGTTTTTAGTGCTTTTCCCCCAGATCTATTTGGATTTGATGAAAGCGGCGCGTGCAGAGCCCYGCTGGACCTCAGGGCTGCCTGGGCTCCGCTCCTCCTGCTCTCGCACACCATTAAATCATCCCCGAAAACCTTCCAAATATCCATCTTATACTTTGCACTGGAATAATGGGAATTGCTCAGGAAAAGTGTTAGAAACAAATCAGCAATACTGCAATGTCAGGCTATCACCCTGATGCGGTAACAGAGGTTTTAAATGACATTCTGTAGAACGTGAAGTTTGAAATACGTTGTGTTCCTCACTTTTGTTCTCTCTTTCCTTCTGTCTTCCATAGAGAATTTATTTTGGAATGCATACTTTGAAAAATACTTTAAAACAACAGGAAGAGAAATTTGTTCCGAACAGATACTGTATTTGAATGAGAATAGATGTATGCAAAAAAATGAGTCGTGACTTAGTTTAGTTCAGACTTAGGAGCRAGGATTTCTTTTGAAAGAGTCGCAGCAGAAAAGTGATTTATGGCCTCATGCAGATTTCCCTCAAGTCCGTGCAAGTCTCTCCGGTGCGCTTGGAACTGGTTTTTATTGCAATTTGGGACAGGCAGCACCTGCTGAGGGGGCTGCTGGTGCCCTCGGAAGGTGAAGGGCTGCACCTTGCACTGACCTGCGGGGAGGCGTTTCGGGAAAATCCAGCTGCAGACGAAATGCTGTGACTGACCGTGTCTGAAAAATGAGAGTTATTTTGAGGTCTCCTTTAAAATTTCTTTTAGCTAAAAAAATAGATTAACTTAGTTGCTGAGTAAAAATATTAACCTAAGCATTATTTACATTGATGCATTTTGAAGAAAAATAATGATTTGGATTAAATGATTTTTGAACTATATGCAAAAACGGATTTGAAATTTTGAAGAATTTTCCTTTTTAAAATCTTTCTTAAAATGCATTAAAATTCAGTCTGTTAAATCACCTTGCTATTTAAATTACTCGTGTCTGTTTATAAAAATATGTATTAAAATATTTGCACCCATCCTAACAATTTTTTCACCTATGCTGTCTTATGCTTCCTGTTAACTTTGAGTATTTTCTTTATATATATATGTGCATATATATTCTTTATATATATGTGCATATATATATAAATGCTATTTTATATATATTTTTCTATATATAAAATGCTATTTTTTCAGTGCTCAGTGTGTGGGAAGAGCTTCTCTCAGTCGTCCAGTCTGAACAAGCACATGAGGGTTCACTCCGGGGAGCGCCCCTACAAGTGCGTGTACTGCAACAAGGTGAGGGTGAGCACCCAACCCGGCGCCCCGTGCGCTGCACCCGGGGCTGCTCGCGCTCCTTTTCCTGCTCCTCTTAACTTTCCTTTTCTGGATCGAGCGCTCCAGAGAAGGGGCCACGGAATGGGACTCACCTTGAAGCCGTGGAGCGGTTTATGTGCATGATACTGCAATAGCAGATCCCTCTAGGGCATGTCCCGCTTGGGACCAGGGCCTGGTGCCTCTGGTAGGTCTTTCATGGATAAGATTTTTATTTACCCTTTCTCAGACCGCAGGGCTATGCTAGGGCAKAGCAAGGATAAAAATTTCCTCTGCCTACCCCGTATGCAGCAGTTCCACTTATAGCAAAGTGTTTTTCCCAGACTGCTAATGGCAGTAGGAGTAGCAGCCAGAGCAATTTTATGGGGTCTGCAAGTGGTAAGGGGGTCCTAAAGGTCTCTCGCAGGAAAAGGGAAAACCTGGGTTATTCTGCAGCATCCTTGCTAAAGTCTCATTTAGAGGGTTTTCTCCAAAGACGCAGAAGGCTTTTGCTGCTGGAGAGAGAGAAAAGGCTGCAAGGTCTGACCAAAGGAAGAGTAGTAGAATATGGTGGAGGGGGGTGATGAAATGCGGGAAGATGGAGACACATTGGGTTGTGTGGGTCATTTCTGACACCTGAACTCCCAGCCAATATATGTGAACATGAGAGTTTCACATTCTGATTAAAACGGGAAGGGAGGAACCTGCACTGGGAGCAACCTGCAGTGCACGCAATACGGGGCTAACTAGGACGGTGTTGACCGGACTCCTTATTCTTTGGCGCGGGACGTGCCCGGTGGTGTCTCAGGTCAGAAGCCCTTCCCTGGCCKCTGTGTAGCTGATGGGCTCAGCCACGGCGCTGCGGCCGGGCTGGTCGCCGGTGGCTTTGGCTTCCTCGTGGCCGGGAGCTGTGGGCTGGCTCTGGATACCTGAGAGTGGGCGCTGTTGTTGGAGTTGTGCTCGGGAGAGCAGCGCCTCCAAAGGGCCYGGCTTGGCTGAAGGGCCCGGCTTGGCTGACGCGGTGGGTCGCAAACCCGGGCTTTGCTAACGCCGCGCCTTCCCCGCGCGCTCGGTGCCGTTGCAGGCGTTCACGGCCTCGAGCATCCTGCGCACCCACATCCGGCAGCACTCGGGAGAGAAGCCCTTCAAGTGCAAGCACTGCGGCAAGGCCTTCGCCTCGCACGCCGCCCACGACAGCCACGTGCGGCGCACGCACGGCCGCGACAAGGGCTGCGCCTGCGCCCAGTGCGGGCAGCTCTTCGCGCAGCCCGACGAGCTCCGCTTCCACACGCAGCTCCACGCCGCCCGCTAGCGCCGGCGCCGCTCCGCGCGGGCGTCCCGCCGAGCCGCGGGCCTCCCCTCCGCTGTGGGGCCTGGCGGGCACGCGGGGTCCTGCCGCCTCCGCTTGGCGGCGCTCCGGAAGGCCCTGGAAAATCTCCTGCTCCTCAGGTCTGCAGGAACAAAGGTTTCGAAATCAGCCCCGTGACAGCGCTGTTGGGAAAGGGGGGAAGAAGCCTCCCCTCTTGCTGAGGTGCAACCTGAGGGTAGGAGCGACCGGCCCAAGACACCACAGCCCCCCAGCTCTCCGTGCACAAAATCCCCTCTCCAGCTTGCGGGAACTGCTCAGCCTGCAAGGGAGCACTGCAGGGTTTCACCCTCCATATCCCGCTGTTTGTGCAGCCAGCTCAGGACCAATTTCTGTGCTTTTTTGTGTTGATTTTAACGTACTTATTTATTTTTTATTAGGGAAAAAAAAAAGTTCATAAAAAGCCATTCACTCTATTGAAAGAGCTATTCATTTAGCTAAGGATGAGAAGTTCTTCTGTAGGATATTTTCCTTGAAAGTTCAGGTTCGATTCTTGCTTTTGCTTTCTATTCTGATGTTGGCGAAGGATTCAAAATAACATCTCAGGCATGCTGCCCATCCGTACCAACCCTCTATGACCCCATTTCTCTGCACATTGCAATGGATAAATGGGTAGAATAATTTCATTATGGAAACTTAGGTGTTTGAACCTTTTTTTCCCTTTTTTTTAATATACTTCCAAAACTAGGAGGAATTCTTAGCAAAATGGCATTCACCCTGTGAGCTCACATGGAGGTGAGCCCAGGGAAAAGCCTGGGCTGAAGGGCTGCTGAGTGCAGGGAGCATCAGAACGGATGCAGAGGCTGGTGCTGGTTCCCTGCACCCCTGGGCAGGGGCTGTGCTTGTGTGTGGAGCTTCCCCTGTCAACAGGACCCTGGGTTGCATCCAGAGGCATAACAGAAGCCCTGGCTGCAGTCTCGTGAATTAACCTGGATAGTTTGATGTTACTGGGAGAATGAAGCTCCTTTTTAATATCCTACCTCAGTTAGGACTAACTAGAACTTTGCACATAGGTACAGGAGATGGATCCTATTTTGTGCCTACCAACTTTAACATTATTACTTTAAACACAGCATAGACGTTGTAACTGGAAGAATGTTACCTGCGTATTTTATTATGTCCTGTAGATAGTATATCTATAAATATGTATATTGGTTTGCACTAATTTCTGTATGTTTTTCTGTGCATTGATGTTGCATTGTTCTCATTATTCTCATGGTTAAAAAACTTGAATATTTATAAAACCACTTACTTGTAAGTGAAATACTGAGGCCCAGCACTAAGTAGGGTGTGAAATAAATGAAGTGCTAATATTGTATGTACATACATACTTTATGTTTGTACAATGTCCCATAGGTGGGATGAAGATCAATGCTTTGTTCTGAATATTCTAATACCAAAGATTCTTGTAGTACAGAAAGCAGCATTTTGTCCACATTGGGACCCTGACCCAGTGAGCTCTATGGAGGTAGAATTCCCTTCAGAGCAGAAAATTATCACACTGCTTGTGTGCTCTTTTCCCTTCCAACCCTGCTGAAGTGCAGATAGTTTAGGACCCGGATCATGGTTATCACAGCTGCCTGCCTGCCTGCACCCATGGAGGGGTTTCTTCCCAAGCAAGCAAAACCCCAGCTGGCAGGAATGTGAATTCTGCTCGCAGAGACTTTGCTGGTTCAGTAAATCAGGATTTGGTGAAATCATCATTTACTCTGCAATAAAGTAAATATTCTGGCTACGGATTAGAGGTACTGTGAAAAATAAACCTACATTCAGCCTTACACACAGGCTGTATCTCTTTGCTTCTGGTGAGTGACCAGTCATTTAAGTGGTGCCTTTTCATTTGTCATGCTTTTAGCTGCGTGCTTGCTTCTGCATCAGGGGCTCTCAAATACCTCATACTAAAATATTGGCACTGTCCTGCAGTTCTGTGTTGCCGAGCTGTATATAAAAAATGTGTGAAGGATTTTACTTGTATTCATGATTGTGGTTATGCTGTGGTTACTTGTTATCTTGCATATTAAGCCTGTATATCTAAATGTTTTATGTAGATATATTAAGACTGTTACTTTAAAATTCATGGAAAGAACAAAAATAAATAAATTATTTGGGGCTGTTGCAAACGCTAATGGACTATAGACTTTTTTTTTATGGCCTCTGCCAGCCCATGGCAGGGAAGGCAGCGAGGGAGCAGGGTGGTTTTACCCTCCTGTGAGGGAAAYGCAGTGATTGCCGGCGCAAACATATTGATGCTCTTGCTGGACAGGGTTTAGGAGAGATTAGGTTTAGATTAGGGAGTGTCTCTGTGTCTTGCACCTTGTTTGCATCCCAGGAGCTGCTGTTTCCCTGACCTGGCCCAGATGTGATAGAGGTTTCCCATCTTTACTAGTGGACAGTACAAAACTCATTCCTGGCCACCCATGAGGGCATAACGTCCCCTCCCCACGTGCTCGAGCAGCACTGTGCACCACAGTACTCGAGACAGCAGTACTCTATATGCAACGTGTTTCTTGCACTGCTTGGCCTAAGTGATGGTTTTAGCACCACTTCCCAGTTTTCATCGCCCTTCTCCTAAACGTGATTAAAAATGGTTCTGCCAGCAGGAGCAGTGAGGCAAGTCACGGGGATAAGCGAGCCCTCTGAGAAACTGATTGAAGGGCTTTGCATTTCTGCAGGAGGGTATTTTTAATCCTGGTTGGAAAGTGATCTAGATGGAAAGCGGAGGGTGATGGCCAGGGGTGGTTTTGCTGGGGTGGCGGGATGTGTGGGATGTGCGTGTGCTGCTCCTGCAAAGCCCCTCAGTGAATGACAATGGCGAGACACAAACAAAAGGGGAGTCCCAAAGSCCAGGCTGGCAAGTGCAAGGGAACAAAGGCCGCTCCAGGGACATCTGCCGCCTCCGGCTGCATGTCCAGGTGCCCAACGCCCCCAGCCCCGCTGTGGTGCCGGGCCACAGGGAGGTGGTTAAACACGGAGGGAAGCGCAAGGCAGCCAGGAGCTTAGCGGAGTAAAGCTAATGCCACAAGCAAATATTGGTTAGAGCCCAACTTCTCGTTGACCACGGGAGACCTTCTCCAGGCACCCTGTCTCTTGAGTGCCTATTGCATGCTCTGGGGTTGGCCTTTCTCCTGCAAGCTCACCACCACCTCCTTTACTTCCCTCCTTCCTGCTGCTCCTCTTACTCCTTGCTGCAATTTCTTCCTCTCTTGTGGCTCTCCTTAGCTCACAGGCTGAAAGACCTCAGCCGGATGCAAGGAGARGCGGCAAGAGACACGTGCTCTCTTCTCTGCTTTGGACTCATGTAAAACCCTGACATCAAGATTTTCAGCAACTCTCTGCGCATTTGGAGTGTTCAAGTCAAGCTTTACAAAGACTTGAATTTGTCAGGTGAAAGCCCTTCCTGKATTCCTTTGAGGTGTCCCAGGTTGGGTGTTGACATTGGAGGTATCTCAGAGCACTTTAAGAAAGTTCTGCAGTATCTCGGCCCATTCTGCAGCAGGACCAGCCTCTCCATCTCCATCTCCTGGCTGCTCTATATCAGACAAGCTCTCCTGATGGTGACTACCCTGTAAACCAGTTTAGTTGCTGCAGCAGTGGAAAGCAAGTCTGAAATTCATAGGATGGGCCTCAGGCTAGCCTAAAGAGAATACTGTGCAGTCACGCGAGTCTTGCTATGGTCAGTCTGCAGGATAGTACTGAAAAAAATCCAGTTTTTAGCAGAGTCTCTGTCCCTTTAGTGTTCAAGAAATGTGCAGATGAGGCACTTTGGGCCGTGGCTTATCTGGCATGGTGGCTCTTAGGGACATGGTTTAGGAGGCAGGGTGAGGGGCCGCCAGCTCCGTGCCGTGCCGGGCAGGCCAACCCTGTGGGTGTGGTGTCCAGCGCCAGTGCTCCCGGCGGGAGTGTCGCTTTCCCAGCAGCCTGACCCGCAGGCTCCCTAAGTGGCCGCGGCTGGGGCCCTCGGCAGCCCCGCGGCGGCAGCGCTGACCACGAGGCCCGCCACCACCTTCATCGATTCCCTAATGGCCGCCAAGGTGGAGCGAAAGACTCTTCCACGGCGAGCGTGCTGACCGAGCTCTTAGCTGAGAGGCATCGTAAACACCCCATTAAAGGTTTCATTCAATAGCAATCTTTACTAAAGTAAATGGACAACAGCAGCGTGCCCCCCCACCCCCGCCAAGTCCCTAATGCCCGAGCCATTACAGGGCAGGAAGGCAGCGCGCGAGGAACATCTATTTGTGCGGTATCAGTTTCAACAACGTTCCCCAACGGCTCTTTTAATGAAAAGTGGATTTCTGCTCGCAGGGACACGAGGCCCCCAAGGAAAGCAGCAATACCCGGACTTTTCTGGGATCCAAGTGATTCGCTTGTAAGACAACAACTGCACTAGGGGGGCAAAAACTCATGTTTTGGGGGCTTTTCTTGCCCTGCTCTCTGGTGTCTCTAGAGCTGCCTTCTCCAAAGCTTCCCTCTCCATGGGGACAGCACGGAGAAGCTGTGGCMTGAAGCTGGGCAGGGCAAGACTGACCTGCACTGGGTGTCTTTGCTCCTTACCACAAGGTGAAACTAGGCCAGACTTCTGCTCACCTGCATGAGCTTTCTCTTGACTTGTGTGGACCTGCATAGTCAATGGTGGTGTGAAATCACGCAGGGATACTGATGTGCTTAGCACACTAGGCTTGCTTTTATTCCTGCACTTCCCCCTCAGTCTCTTATACAGAGGGATCCCTGCCCAAAATGCTACTCTAGCACATACAGAAAATAAACTCACCATGAAAAACACATCATCAAAGGGGAAAGTTCCTGGAAGGGAGRCATCTAATTATTTGCTCAAATTATGCTCAGATTAGAAAGTGTGTTGATTTTAGAGTAGCTGGCTGTGGCTATGGAGATGGCCTAGCTGATCCAGTTTTGTCATGGCTAGTTTTCTAACTGTAAGACTCAAGCTG